ATGGCACAATTGGTTAGTCAGACCAAACAAAAAGAGTTCTGCAGCACTCCTGTAATGGCAGCTAGCTACTGAAGATGCATCGGTTCAAGGTTCGAGACCAAAAGGACATAAGTAGCCTTGTTTGATAGAGTCGTACCTGAGGGTTGCTGCAAGAAAGCTACCTTCATCCGAGGAATGGCAGAGAGAAAAGCCAAAGCAGAAGCAAATTTTTAGTAGAACAGTGAGTGATCTATAATACAGTGTGGCATGTGTTAATATGTGAACCAGAGTCCTATTGCTATGGTAAACTGTGCATCTGAATTCTATCAGGAAGCTAACCCGCTTCAGGGGTGGAGATTAGAATATACTCCAGTCGCTACTTCTTACAGCTCAGCATCATCCTCCCGAGTGAAATCTAAGTGATGCATAGGTCATCTGCCTAAAACAACGCTGTCCTGAGGATGACCATTAGAACAAACTCTAGCATTGACAACATGCTCATCAAGCCCGTCACCTTCAGAGGGATAACTAGTTTTATCATCCATCTGCAAAGTGGCATGCCAACCATTTGCAACTTCTGAATCAAAGAAAACCGTCTGTCCATCACGTACAGAAGCAGTCTCTTGCGGGTTACTAGTGCTGATTGTGCTCTGATTTACATGCACATCATGAGTAGCCTCGAGTTTGTCATTAGGAACACTAACTTCTGCAATCTCCTGGCAATCAACACTTCCAGTTCCTTTGGGGCATTCCAGGCCAGAATTTTGATGAATTTCTGAGTTTCCATGCCGACTCAATTGTCCGTTCAGTTCAGATGTTCGATCTTCAGGGTCTGAAATGGTAGAACCAAGAGAGGTAGTTTGATTTTGGCCAACCTCTTTAGCTTCTCCACAAGTAAGGCATGAAGAGCAGAATGAGTTCTCAAATTTTGGGTTCCTTTCCTCCAAATTATCATTTATAGCATCAGCAGTATGGACGACTTCAACATTGTTAGTAGGATTATCTAAACCAGATATATCGTTCAAGATCTTATCATTTAGTTTAACACTGGATTCAACAGCTGCAGGTTCACAAGAAATCTCAGATCCATCAGGTGCAGTACCCTGGCTGCATGAATTTAAACAAGGACCAGGAGAACGTGTCTCTTCAGGAGAGCTTGCAACAACCTCTACCGTTTGTTGTTCTGCAAGTTGGGGGGACTTAGAACCTACAAGAACGAAAAAGAAAATTATTTGTCACCCCACTTAGAATGTAAATGAGTGCACAATAAGCACTAATTGTCAATAGTTGGATACCTTCTACAAGAGGCGTATTTTCCATAGGAACATTATCCCTAAATAGGGGTTTCTGCAGCATTTCTACACCAGGAAAGACCAACAGACTCATGCTCCTCATCCTAAGCTTGCTAGTCTCTTCAAGCGGCTTGAAACCAAAGACAGAAGTCCATGTATCTCTTAATTCAGATATTGCGGGAATGACCAACTTCTCAACATTTAGAGAAGTCAAAGCCTGACAGGGAAAGTAATAACAGAAGAAAAATAGCCATGTATTAAACCAAATAGCACAATGATATGAATGTTAAATGAACTTAATATGAGTTAGCTAGAAACCGAAAACGTCAGATATCTATTGATATAGCAGACATGATCAAGCCTCTCCAGAAAAGAAACTACTAACACAAGGGAAAATTTACATTCAAATATAACAGATTGAATCTAGAACTAAAATAGGTTACTGTGAGCTCAGATGTAGTCAACAGTTAACTAGCGAATTCTTTTTTGACATAATATATGTCAAAGAATGTACCATTTCCTAGTAATAATAAACGATTCTGACGTCTCCCCCCACTAAATAGAGCACAGCTACAGCTTCCATGATTTGGAATTTTAGGGTTCCAAAAAAAGGTGAAATTTTTCCTATGGACACTCTTTTATAGGGGCACAAATACAGCTGAGAAAATCCAAAGAAAGCTCCCACATTGGATGCTTTCCCCCTCTGTTTGTGTTCTCTACCTAAGAGAATCAGATTCGGTGGATCATATTTTCCTTCATTGCTCTTTTGCCAATCGGGCATGGAGCTATGTGGCTTTGCTTATGGATTTATCCTTTTGTCCCCGTAAACAAATAGATGATTTTATAGCAGAGGGTCTCGGAGGTGCGGCACTAAAAGGAAAAGCTTGGGTCCTATGGAACTGCGCGGCAAGGGCCTCCTTGGGCTCCTATGGAAAGAGAGGAATAGTAAATTTTTTTAGGACAATTCAGTCCCTTTAGATTCTTTTTGTGTGAATACTACTCATTCAGCTTCTTGGTGCGCAACAATCCATAAGAAGGTTTTTTGTAACTAGTCTTTTTTTATTTTTCAAGATTGGAAGGCTGCAATTGTATACTTTCTTTAGGGAGGGTTCCCTCTACCATCCGCCTTTAGGCTGTTTGTGCCTTTTTGGGCTCTTTTGATATGAATGCATTCTCTATGCTTCTTATCAAAAAAAATAATAATAATAAATGAATATCAATTCCTTTCTCTCTTATTCTGATGTTTGGGGTCCCTCCAATGTGCCAAATTTTTCAAATTTCACTGGTTTATTGTCTTCATTGATGACGGCTCTCAGTCTCATGGATTTTTCTTTTGACACAAAAATCTGATGTTAGGTTCTACCATTCAAATATTCTTTCATATGATAGAAAACCAATTCGAAATCAAACCCAAACGATTCCGCTTTAACAATGCTCGAGATTACTTCAATCAAACCTTAACATGATAGAACCGAACAAGTTGAGGTTGATAGAAACTTCATAAAAGAGAAGTTAGACAGCGGTTTCATATATACTCCATTTGTATCAACAAATAATCAAATAGCAAATATCCTTACTAAAGGATTGAACAATAATAACTTCGAGCATTTGGTTAACAAGCTGGGAACAGAAAATATTCATTCACCAATATGAGGGGGAGTGTTAAATTATACTTTTATCTTTAATTTCCTATTGTATTTAGGTTTTAACAAGTTAGGTTTCCTTGTTCTAATAGGTAAGTGTTTTCTAATCTCAATAGACAAGGGTTTCTATTCTTTTCTTCTTTGTAGTTCTTTGTAGTTTTTGTAGTTCCTATTTATAGTCTTGTATCAATTCTTTTGAAGTAAGAATTATTTTCTTTTCTTATCAATTAACAAATGCCTACTGCTGTCAGCATAAAATTCAATATGCAGGATCTTTCACTGGTATGACCTAACTCCATATATTTCTTTGAGACCTAGAAATTTTTAGGACCCTTCAACGTTCACCAAGTTCTAACCTAATACGATTTGAAATTTGGTAAACTTGATACTGATTTTGACTCATGGCCACTAGGCTGAATCCAAGTGCCTTTTACTGCTATGCCACTATGTCTATCCCCCACCCTAGTAAACATGAAACAGTCAAATGAAATCTAGAAGATAGAATAGCACCAGTAACTTTTTGGACCACTCATAATACACAATACATGAAGATACAATGAGACAGATTATGACCGACCGATTCAATCACGCTAAGAAAGCGCCGGCACATTCCCTGACGCCTATACATATAGCGAGTCCCAATGAATGGCATCTCCGCTAATTCATTTCCATGGATCCTAATTTCATCAATAAGTAGAGAATTTCAATGTTAGTGTTCAACAAATTCATGCGTGTAAATTTAAAAAGTAATAAAAGAAGCATGTTCCCTTCCATAACTAGAAAAGCATATTTAATAAATGTTGAGTCAATATTATTTCATAAAAATTTTTACAAGTTTCAACCATTTTCATATGTTTTAGAATACAATTCCTCAACCACCAAATAGTTAACAATACTAGCAAACAGCCAGGAACTAAGGGCTAATTTATTAAGCCGTGCAACAAATTAGGCAACAGAAAACAGTAAAAGAAAGATAAACTAGAACCACACGACATAAGCTCTCCCTCTCTATAATTAAACTCATCCCAAATCTAGGATGCTGAAAAAAGAACATTCTGGTGTATAGTAGTTGGATAGATCCACTGCATAAAATGTGGGGCTGAAAAAAGTTTTTTTTTTCTTTTATAATTGAGAGTTGGAGCTTTGCTCCCCTATTCCCAGGGGCGCCCACACCGGCCTGAAAAAAGTCTTCCTTTTGCGCAGCTTTCAAAAAGGGTTTAAAAGTAGCATGTATTGCATGATAAAACCAGGTACATGATAAATAAATAACAAGGTTTGCAATATTCTAAAGGACAGTGAGCCCACAAGGGGCAGCCCAGCTAGCAAGCACTTAGGGTCTCTTGGTTATACCGACTGAGGTCTCAACTTCGAACCTTTTGGTGAGCTTAATACCAAAAACCCTTGATATCTCACAAGCCCGAGCTTTGGGGCATACACGGGTGCCCTGGTACAGGAGAGCAAAGTGTCGACTCCTAGTTATCAAAAATATATATATATTATAAAGGACAATGGCAGCTATGGAAACATGGCATCCAAGAGACAGACCCTTAGGCCTTGAGGTAGAAAAACACCCAAACTCAAGGGATAAGTTGGGTAAAAACTGAACAAGGTGAGTGATTTTGCATCGTTCCTTTATCCATTTGAAGGGATTACAAATAACAATATAGTTGGAGAGGCCAGCGGCAAATTGTTCTGTAGGCAAATTGATCTCTAAACTTCGCATAAGGGCAGGGGCAGCACATTTGTATTTAACTGATTAGGAAAGAAAATCATCCTACCCCAGAATAAAGCTAAAGGAGCTTCAGTAACCTACCCCTTTATTTTTGTTTGTGAGCGCAAGAGAAGATCATGATTATTGTAGTAAGTGCTACATAAGCTAGACATTTGGAATCAAAAGTTCAAAAACATTTGAGGGAATTTTAAAATATATATATGTTCCTACTACCCCCCACTTAGAGAGGTACAGCATCACATCCACTTAACCAAGAACTTTCAGACAACGAAATAGTTTATAATAGACTTGGTACCTATGCAGTACCAACCTTCCACTAGAAAGGGACCACTCATGGAGAATATACACGGATAGTAGGCAGGGCCATTACTTGGATTACAATAAGATATAGATTCCCAAACCCTTGGTTTAGCAATTTGCACGATCAACTATGTGGAGCCCAATTATTTTCCAAAATAGATAGCAGATACCATCAATTAGAACAAGACATGGTTATAAATGAAAAATAGCATTCAAAACAAATGAAGGCTTATTCAAGTGATTGATGATCCCATTTGGCCTTAGTAATGATGCTTCAAGCAAATTATGTGTCTTATGAACAAACCAAATACTCCAACCAGATTTTTTACAATTCCTGGTGGTTTACTTCAATTATATCTTCATATGATAAAGACATGGACTCAAGTATACATCCAAGGGAAATAATAATAACCCTGCAAATTATAAACTCCATCTAGGTCCAAGAAATTTATATTTGTAGTAAACAAACCTAACTAGGAATCCTTAGGGAGTGGCGACATGCAAGTCAATTAGAAGGTTACATTTAACCAAAGTTCCATAAAAAGTTTTAGCTCTTAGTCAAATTGTTAACATATTGCCTTGGGAAAAGAAAATTCAACTTGAGAAAACAACAGCAGGAAGGTTTTGGTCATTTTAATGAAGACACGAGTCAGGGACATATTATAATCCTTCCCTACTTTGGAAAAGTTCTTAAAGTAGGAGTTCACGCGTCCATCATGGTTAGTCAAGAAGGTAAACCTACGAAATATTTAAGTGAAAAGCTAAACATAGCAGGAAAAGCTGGAGTAATTGGGAGCATTATGCAGAGAACTTTTGAGGAAAATCTGATTCTTTTATCATTATAAAATAAAAAATAAAAGTACTACCAGATTCCTTTTATAGATTGTTTTACACGGGCTGTCTCTCTCTATTAGTTACCAAACTATTATGGAACTAACATAACATTAAACCCCTTATTAAGACAGTATCTGATTAAGCCCCCAATGCTACAACGCATTGCCATAGCAATTATATAAATTACAGTAAGTAACTGTCTACATAAATATCCCCCTACTCACAATGAAATCACCCTCGAGGTCTAATAGTGAACTGCCATGCATTTGGTAGGTAGTATCCAACAAGATCAGCTACGTTGTCAGATAAATGTACAAAACACTGCCATGCTTTTATCTCTTTTTTTTCAGTTTATTGTACTACAATAGGAAACCAATTCTTTTGTAGATAGACCAGCACTTCCTCTTCTGAAATTTCTTGTGTCTACAATGTTTATTAGCTGCTTTTACATGCTGGGCATTTGTAGTACAGCTGGCAAGAGCTTCAGCTTCCTCGTTGATAGCAACACTAGTAGGCTAAATGCTTCCTCGTTGATAGCAACACTAGTAGGCTAAATTCACGGTCAGATTGGGAGCTATAGTATAAACAATCTGACGATCTCAATGGAGATTTGTTAACTCTAGGGTACAATCTATTTTTTCTATTTTACCAAAAACGATAGAAGCAGAAAAGGTAAAGGGTTTCCAGGCCTATTAGTTTTTTTTTACTAGATAAGAAAACACTGTATTAACGAAACAAAAGGACAGCCTAAGGGCCGAGGGTTGAGAAGACCCCTCCCACAAACTAAAACAAAGTAGCTTTCCAATCCTTTGTAATCCACCAAGAAGCAGTGTTTTGTACACTACTACCAAAAAAATCCTCTAAGGACTTTTTTCCTTCAAAAAGTCTACTATTTCTTTCTTTCCAAAGCAGCCACAGTAGTCCGAACCGCACAATTCCAAAGGACATTTGCTTTGCCCTTAAGGAGAGAACCACAAAAATTTTCTATGAAGAGATCATCAATTCTATTTGGAAGACAGCAGTCTAACCCAAATTTATTTTTAATGAAGGACCAAGACAATAGAAACAGAAGCAAAAGCACAGTGCAGAAAAGGCAGTCCACCGTTTCTTCACTTGCATTACAAAGGCAGCAACTAGAGGGAGAAAGGTTGCAAAAGGGAAAACCATTTTTGGCATCTTTCACCCGTATTCAAGCTTCCATAGAAAAGTAACCAAATGAAAATTTTTATTTTCTTTGGCACTTAAAATTAGTTTACCAAAAGGGTTTTAAGCTTCACCAAAGGTTTGACAAGCATGGAGAAGGCGGATTTAGTTGAGAAAATGCTGCTGCTGTCAGCCTTCCACCAATTATGTCTTCCCCTGCCCAAGTTGCACAAAATCCAGCCTCTCGGTAAGCAAAACCTAGTTGGGAATTTCCCCATCAAAAGGATTTCTCCTCAAGCCCATTTCTCCTCAAGCCAAGGTCCCGGGTCTTTAAACTCTCCACCCAACAATCTGCTTTGAGGAAATCCCAAGACCAGAAAGTCCCCCTGTAGAGAACCTCTCTTCAGAAATACCAGATGGATACTTTAGCTGCTTTGAACAGTCCTTGGAGGATCCTCTCGAGGAACAGAGTACAGAGTTAGTCGTAGCTAATCTTGAACTATCAGAATGTCAACCACCAGAGGCCCTCGATGAGGACAAGACAAAGGAAGAAGAGGAAAGGTGCAAAGATCCCACTCCCCTCTTAAGGTTTTTTCCTTTACGAAAAATATGGTGATGGAGTTGTGGGAGCACAATATGTGCATTAGACCCATTCCCAAGAAGCTCTGGAAAGAGTAGTAACGCGAACTCTTCAGAGAGGTTAGAAATTTACTTGCTACTTGGGAGAATGAAGTGAAACTAGCTAAGCAGAGTATAGAAGCAGGTCCCTCCGTTTCTAAATGAAGGTTATCTCTTGGAATGTGAGAGGCTTAGGCGCGGCCTCTAAACGAGCCCTCGTGAAGGATCTGATCCAGAAATCGGATCCAGATCTGGTTTGTATCCAAGAAACAAAGAAGAGCTCTATCGATCGGTGGCTGGTTAGATCCATTTGGAGCTCTAGACACGTAGGTTGGCTTTCACTTGATGCGGAAGAGACATCAGAGGGTATTTTAGTTCTTTGGAATGAGCAAAAGATCTCTGTCTCTAGTCCGGTGATGGGCTCTTTTTCCATTACTTTACAGTTTAGTTTGATTGATGGCAGGAACGGTTGGTTTACAGGGGTCTACGGCCCTTCTTCTACTAGAGGTAGAGCCGACTTCCGGAGGGAATTAGAAGACTTGGCAGGCTTATGCCAAGGCGCTTGGTGCATCGGTGGAGTCTTTAATGTGGCTAGATGGCTTTCAGAGAAACAGTGCAAGAATCAAGGACGTATCACTCGAAGTATGAACGATTTTAATAATCTTATAGAAGGCC